ATAATCCTGGGCTTCCATCTAAAACAAACATCATGAAATGTAATATTCTCAGAAAATTTAAAACGGCGTTAAATTTAATCCATCGAAAAAATTGAGTAGGTTGCGTTTTTTTGCAATTTCGCCTTTTATAAATAATTTCTGACAAGAATATTTCACAGAAAAATTTTGGGCTTGGGTGGCAAAAAATATTTAAAAACTGAGAGAAATTATCATTTGGGAACATATTGCATTTTGCGACCAGGAAATCAAACGGCATATAATTAATTAATTAATTGATTTGTAAAATATATCTAAATCTGCGAGAGAATCTGACATCGAATTTAATCCATGCAAAAAATTGAGTAGGATGAATTTTGTTTTCGGTTTCGCAATCAATTAATTTTTTGACAAATTTTGGTATCTCAGAAAAAGATTTTGTAGCAAAAAAAACGAATTGCAACTTTTAAAAAATTTTTCCCTAATAATGTGAATCATACCTGGAAATGAACATTTTAATATAAAATATTCTCATAAATTTTAAACCAGCGAGAATAGTTGGCATTAAATTTTATCCATGGAAAAAATTGAGTATGATGTATGTCTTTTTTGCAATTTCGTATCAAATTACTAATTTTTTTACAGATTGGTTTTACATAAAAAATTGTGAGCATGGGGTCACAAAAAAATGCGAAAAATAGGATGAATTATTATAGACATGTAAATTGTAATTTTTGTTTTTGAAATTTGGGACAAAATTTTAACTACCAAAGGGAGGGCGGCCTGGTGGATACGAATTTGACCTTGAATAACCCCGGAACGGTTTGTCGTAGCGGGTCAACATTTTGAACAGACGAGCATGTTATCCTCAGATAGTTGTGTGCAAAATTTCAGCCCTCTACTTTGAAAAATGCCTGCCCCACAGCCCCCAGAAGCTGAGATAGTCATTTCAAATAGTTCCAGAAAAAATCTGGCTCGTGCTTACAAAAAATTTTATTTAAATTTTCTGTTGAGGAATAGGAGTGAGTTATTTGTCACATTTGACGAAGCACTATTTTCTCTACAAGTTACTAATTGAGCTCGAAGAGCTTACTACACGACAAATGCCGAAAAAAAATTCACGGAATTTGGTGTTTCCCCGTGAGGAGAACTTTTGTAAACAGTTTTAAGTTGTGGGTGCAATGTCCGATCGTGGTGTCCTCCCACGTATCAAAGTCCCCCAAAAAGTGAAGAAATCTGCAAAGCAATATGCTGACCGTGTCTCGAAACCACTTTTAGAGTAACATTTTCCTAAATAGCACGGTAAAAACATAAATAAGGTAATTTTTATCGTGACGCAGCGTCTTCCCAGACGATAAAGTTGACCCAAGATTATGCAAATGACCTTGAAGCTAGATTAGAAATAAAAATCATTTCGAATAGTGAAATACCTATACAATCCCCTGATATAAGTCAAATAGACTTCTTTGGGTTCGGATACTTAAAAAGAAATTCTTTCTGCGGAGACCGAATTTTTTAGACGGAGTTTGGAAAAAATTGAAATGAGTGTCTCAACTTCTGGGGGCTGTACGGGAGGCATTTTTGAAAGTAGAGGGCTGAAATTTTACACACAACTATCTGAGGATAACATGCTCGTCTGTTCAAAATTTTGACCCGCTACGACAAACCGTTCCGGGGTTATTCAAGGCCAAATTCGTATCCACCAGGCTGCCCTCCCTTTAGTAATCTGGAGAACACACCAGCCCCACCTGAAAATAAACACGTCACTAAAGAATATTCACAGAAAATTGCAACCGGCGAGAAAGCTGGCATAAAAAATCTATGCAAAAATTGAGTAGGATTCGTTTCTTTTTTCTACAATTTCGGATTCAACTAACATTTTTTTTGACAAAATGGTTTTTGTTTTTCATAAAAAAATTGTGGGCGTGGGTGGCAAAATTAGAAAAACGACGAATTATCATACAGGAACATATTGCGTTGTATTTTTTTCGGAAATTTGTGATATGCCAGTCATCTATCTATTTGTTTAATAATACTATATAAAATTATATTTTAAAAATTGAAAACGTCGAGTAAATCTGGCATTAAATGTAATCCGTACAAAAAAATTTGTAAAATGCCTTATTTTTCATAATTTCGTATTAAATTAACAATTCTTTGGACAAATTAGCCCTACATAAAAAATATTATGAGCATGAATAGCAAAAAATACAAAACCTGCCATTTTGGCAACAACATAATTTATTCCGTGCAAAACGATTAGATTGTTTATTTTAAGGTGGCTCCAAATTCCTTAAATAATTTTATTTCGTACAAATAAGAGTTGAAAGTGTCACACACCGCATGTAGGGCGTCAGCTGCATTATTTACCAACTTGCGCCCTAGTTAAAAAGGTGTGCAACATTGGCGCAGGTTAGTAACGAATAAATAAAGTATGATTAGGCCACCTTTAAGAATGAGGTGGAAAAATAACAGGAAAACGTGCACGCAATCTAGAATAACAAATGAATGAGAAAGTGGAAAACTTACGTATTTACAGAACGAGGGTCGTGCGGTAGGGATACAATACATTTTTGGGAATAAGCACCTAGGCAGGTTTTTGACCTGACGAAAAGGTAATGATGACCAGAGGACGGGTATGTATTTAAGAAAAAATAGAAGAAATATGTACATATTTAATGTTTATTAAAAAAAGCCAAAGTATTTACAAAAAATGGCAAAAAATTTACGAAATATGTATGTAGGAAACAAAAAGAAGATTTTTTTTAAATTTGTATTTTCAAATATTTGCCGTGCTCTGCATTTTTCTTAGTGAGGCAAACACCTGACAACGACAAAAATTTGCTAAGTATGCATTTACCCCACCCAAAAAAAGTGACATAAGTCGATTTCTCAGCCATTTCTCAACCGATTTTGATGAAATTTTGCACAGATCATTTTTAGGTAATTTAGAAAAGATGTGCTAGTCGACTTGGCGAATTTTTGATTTTTACCCAAGTTATGTGCCAAAATGTGCAAAAATGTTCCCCTGAAAACATATTTATTTTTATGATTCATAAGTGGTGTGTCTCAGCATGCTCGCTTATTGCAAATATTTTAGTCAAAGTCATTCCGGACATTTTAAGCGCAAAATGACCTAAATCGGTTGAGAAATAACGGCGTTATTCAAGTTTGAAAATCAAAAATTTAACAAAAATATTCAGGGTGCCGATAATAACGGCGGTTGTGCAGTAAAAATAATGTCTCTGACAACCAATTACAAGTTTTAAATAAACAAGGCCCCAAAAAATTGGAAATCTTAGTGAGTCAGCGCAATCACAGGTAATAAATAAAATTAGATTGAATAACTTTTGCATCACCGCTCTCGGGATAATTTTTACTTGGCCCACTGTAAATTTAGTTTTGCATACGCATGAACTCTTGCAGTCATTAAATTAATTGAGATTACAAGATGGCGTTTTTACTATTGAACGAGAAGTTGGCTAAATTAATCGATATGAAATATAATTGTGAACTGCGAAGTTTAAATTTAGAAAGCGTTGAAAGTCTACAATTTCGATATATAAATTTGGATATTCTGTTAATTCTTATTCTGATGAAATCTCCAGACCCTTTGAGGGTGGAAGCAATTATTCTAAATGATTAATTAATGCTTCCAGGAAAGATGATACCGAGAGCGGTGATGAAAAAATTATTCAATCTAATTTTATTTATTAACTGTGATTGCGCTGACTCACTAAGATTTCCCATTTTTTGGGGCTTTGTTTATTTGTGATTCAACTTATTTTAGTCAAAAATTTTAGTCTAACATCTTAGAAATATTTACAACACATTTACAATGCATTTATCTACATAATGCATTTTTGAAAACTTTAAAAAAATTTATGCATTTTTAAAAAGTAATAGCGGAAATATTTGTACGTCTGAAAACCTAGAAATATGTCACACTATGTAAAAAATATTTGAAATTTTTGTAATCTATGCGAGTTAGTCAACACACCCACAAAATTTGCCTCTCAGCACCTAATGAAAAAGTTGAAAATAACTAAATAGCCGTCCTCTGGTGATGACACCCTGTATGCAGGATCCGCGACATGCATAAAAAATGAGGATGTGACACCGACAAGACCATAAAATAATAATAAACGGACAACCCGACAGTCCTACCTCAATCCAGTTTTTGTTGCGTGTGTGGTCATTGCCTCGCTTATTTATTGACATTATACAACGACCCAGCAGAAGTAGAATAAATAATCGATACGCGATAACTGGATCGAGGAATGGAAATGTCGCCATTAATTCGCGAATTGAAGCCAGACAGAATTTTTACTTTTTGCGTGGGGTGAAAGTTTCACTGCCAAGTTGTTCAAGGTGTAGGTAGGAAAGGTTGACCATTTTCTGAGTAAATTGCATACATATTTTGTCCTACATTTTTGCAAATTTTGTCTCACATTTTTGCAAATTTTGTAAATAAATATAGCTCCTAATTGGAGAGATAAATTGGCGAAATTATGTGAGTGACGTTTGTTTTTGTGTGGGAGAGTTTCGTTGCAAAATTGTTACTATTTTAAGGCGTAGGGAAAGGTCAGTTATTATGTAAGTTGTTTTGCATGTATACTTTGTTTTGGCAATGTTTTGCAAATTTTGCGAAATAAATATAGCTTCGAAGTGGACATTATGTTAAGGCGTAGGTAGAAAAACGCCAGTTATTATGCAATAATAGGTTGTTTATATGTAAATATAGTTTCACCCTCCCGTGTTTTTGCAATGTTTGCAAATTTTTTAAAAATGCATATACAAATCTACCTTTGAATTGGGTGATGCGTATCTATGAATAAATTGGAGAAATTTTTATGAGTGCCCCAATTTACGTAATAATAGTGGAATTTAGTGACGGATTAAATGGGCAGATCTGTTTTAAAATTAATCAGGAGTCGAGTTTCACCTTGATGTCAGAATCGGGTGCAAACACCTCACGAATTTTTGCAAAGTTGTCCAACTAGTTGGAGTTTGGCGATTGTGGAAACTGCAAGCGTGGTCGTGTTTTGTTACCGACTAAGTAGTTTTTGCGAATTTTGTTTTTATTTTGTGCAAGCTTTTGTTTGCGAATTTTGTGTATCTATTTTTTGCAAATTGTTATTTGCAAATTTCTCTTGCAAAGGGTAAATTTTTGGGAAAATTGAGATTCTTATGAAGTGAAAATACTACTAATGGGTAATCTCAGACAATTGAGACAAATCAATTTTTGTGCAAAAAAATTGCAAAAAATTGCAAATTATGATAAAATATTGCACAAAGGAGTGTTCTCTTCGTGTGTGTGATGAAATTAGAGAAATGAATCCAATTTTTCAATTTTAACAAAATTTTGATCTTTTTTCTCCAGATTTCTAACCTGAGACGTGAACAAAATCCAGTTTTGGGGTAGCCTTGGACCCAACCGGGTTTGTGTCAGGATTGAATAAAAGTCAGCATCGCACGAGGTTTCTGCTCTGCGTTCCACAGTTTTATCAAAATTCCTGGAAATTTTGTAAATCACAATTTTTTTTAACTTGTGACCCGTGACCCTTCCTACCCACTACATTGATCTTGCTCAATTGAGCCGTTTCGTTTTCCGGGTTCTTTCCGTTGGACAATTTTCTCGTAAATTTTGTCAAAAAAAGAAAGACGAAGCCAAGAAACCCATACCGCTTAACTGACCTGACCTGACCTGACCTACTGGAAACGATATGTTGGCAAAGAACCCTGAAAACTCAGGCACTCCTACGAAACACACCCCCACAACCTGGGTAGAAGAATCTTCCGACGATAGTCAACAACAATCTTCGGAAATAGAGTAAGAATTTTATAAAATTATGAATTAATCGTAAACAATTATAAACTAATTATAAAATACTCCAGATCTGACATGGACGTCGAATCAACAGATGACCAAACTCAAGTCGTACAAAATGATGACAAAAATTCCTCAGACGATTCTTCATTTGATGAGGACGATTCCGACTCTTCTGAAGACGAGGATGGCGACAAAAAATCGTCACGTCAAGAAATGGACGACAAGGATCCCGACCTTGATGAGGACGACCCGGTCATAAAATCCATCCAGGCCGCGCGTGAGAAAAAGAAGGCGAACCATCCCCCCGATCTCGACCTCTCGCCGCATTCCCCCTCGTGCATGAGTTTCCACCAGAGTGAGGACATCCTCACGGTCGCTACGTTCGATGGGGATCTCAGAATGTGAGGACGAGTTTATAGTTTTTTAATGATTAATTAACTTGTAAACAGTGTAATTTTGCAAAAATTTACACAGATTATTTATGAAATGAAGGAAAATCAGGGTTGGAACTGTAGAAGCTTGAATCTAAAAATAATAGCAGAGTTTACAGAGAAAATTTACGCCACACGTGCGACTTTTTTGTCAAAGTTGTAATAATTAGATAATGACTGAGGCTTGTAAACTGTGTAAATTCAGATTTTTAAACGAAACTCGATATTGTGAAGTTGAATTTTAAAAATTCAGTTTACAAATACATAAAAGTTTCAAAACTTAATTAACTTCGAAGAGCTTTACACTGCAAACTCTTCCAAAATTGCGTAAACTCGTAAGTTTGCAAATGAAAATCATGATATATTCGTAAACTTGAAATTGAAACTTGATTTGTTATTGCATACTTTAAAAATATGATGGTGAACTTAATTAAGTTGGTAAATTCATTGTTCCTCCAGGTACTCGTACTCTGACGAGGCCAACACCCTTATAGGCTCGGTATCCTTGGAGGAAGGTCGAATTTGCCGTGAGGTGACTTACACCACCGATGGGGACAAAATAATGCTCGCCTCCTGCGGAAATGGGAACGATTTGCATATCTACGACGTCAAAGAAGGGCTCCGGTTGGACAGGAGGATCAAACAGGCGACGACGTGCGTACAAACATTAAATTAATTGACATTCTAAACCAACTAAATATTTAATTACTTATTTAAATTACAGAGCCGCCGTTAGCTCACTGTACTCGATTGACGAGAACACTTTCGCGACGGGGGATGACGACGGCTATCTTCTCTTGTGGGATTTACGTACCAGAAATTCCTACGCGAATCTGAAAGTTTCTGAAGACTGTATTTCGTCCATGATAACGAGCCACGAAAAGCGTTTGCTCGCTTGCACGGCGACGGATGGGTCCCTTTTCGCCGTCCGGATTCGTGGCGGCTCGATCGACACGCAGTCGGAAATTTATGAGTCGGAATTTAATTGCATTGGACTTTTTAAGCAAGAGTCAAAAATTGCGGTGGGGAATGGACAAGGTAATTTTGTAGGGGTGAAATTTTGAGGGGGATAATTTTAAGGTGAAAGGTTTTGTGAAATTTTGAAATTAATTCATATTTTTTCAAATCTGAATTTGGAATGAATTTCACGCAACGTAACAATTTTATGCAAACGTTCCTCAATTTTCTTTACAATTTTAGAAATGTTGCCCAATTTGAAGAAATTAATTTACATTTAATTTAATTTAATGCAATTATACGTATACCATAATTTTATCAATTTATTTCAAAATTTGTAAAATTTTGACCACAAATATTTACACCAGTTATATATCTCTTCTAGGCTCTGTCTACGTCTTCAACTGGAACGAATTTGGCCGTCACGCCGACATTTATACAGGAATTGGGGCGAAAACGAAGAAAAAGAAGCCGGAAGCGATCAACGCCTTAATTCCCATCACGGAACGGATCATCCTCACGGGCGGGGAGGACGGCTGCATCCGCGCCATGAACTTTTACCCCCAAAAGTATCTCGGCCTCGTGGGACAGGTTCCTTACTCCATTGAAAAAATGGACGTTTGCAATGACGGTCACCTCATCGCGTCGATTGGATCGGATGAAGAGGTGATAAAATTTTGGAACGTTTCCTACTTTGAGTCGATGACGGTCGGGAAGAAAGAAAAGGTCAAGCACAAGTCGAAACCGACGCTGGAGGATGAGTCGAAATCCAACCTGCCGTCATCCTCGAAACAAAATGCGGCCGATTTTTATGGTGGATTGGTGTAAATAATGATGAATAACTTGTGCAATTATTGGTGGGTTAGTTAGTTAATTAACTAATTAAGTTGGGCTGGTCCTGTACAGTTAATTGTTAGTGTAATTAACGCAACAATTTGTTCGGATTCTTTCTAATTTTAAGTAATTATAAATGTCTTAATTAATTTGTGTAAATATTAGTGGAGTAGTTAGTTAGTTAAGTTGGGGTGCTCCTGTACAATTAAGTATTTAGTAGTTTTTAGTGTAAGTAACACAACAAGTTTTGTTAATTTTTTGCAGATTCTCATGATCATTTTTGAGTAAGTATTATGTAAATTAGTTGAATATTTGTAGTTTGTAGCCCTAAAGAGGTTAATTTGGAATATTTCTTAGGGTCAAAATTTGTAGAACTACTAATTTTTCTGGTGAGAAACATTTCAAAATTAATAAAGGTATCGAACTCTAAATGAATCATGTTTCGAAAGAAGTCAGGAATTTTTATTTGGTAAAATTGTCTCTGGTACAGGTCGGAAGAGCTAGTTTTCGATAATGGAACCTTATTCACAGCTATTTCTCATCAATATAAAATAATCATCACAAAGACTAAATACAATTATGGCATTATCATCAGATCATTAATTAATTAGTCAAAAAGTCAGTCATCTTGTCTTAATTCTCATACATGTATAAAATAAGTAAACTAAAGTTCCCCGTCTTGGTGTCGATTCAGAATTTTAGTTTCCAATTGAGAGTGCAATTTTTCTAAGTGTCGCTCATGTCGTTTTACTTTATCCTCGTAGAAAGATTCCGTATCCTTCTCGGTGTGGTGAAATTCCTTGTCGGGATTATTATTGTGCTTCAACTTCTTTGCGGCGAGCTCAGATGTGAAAAAGTGCATCTTTTCCATCCGTTTCTCATAATGTTTTAGTTCTTGCTGGAAAAAAATAAAATTTCATAAAATTTTAAAACGGAAATTTTGAAATTGATTATTTTATTATTACTACCCGTAATGATTCCAACTCGTCCTCATTGAAATCACCTTGACGGGCAAGTTCCCATAAATTTGCGACACGTGGTTCCGCAAATTCTTGTGAGTTTGGACCTGACGCGACCTTTTTGTGCAGGATGTCATACCCGTCCTTGATATTGCGGTGGTTGGTGCGGACATCGTTCACGTTGGAGAGACGACCTTCCCCCGTGGGATATTTGCTCGAGGGGAGTTTAGACTTGTCGAGGTGGTCTTCATGTTCAGAGGGGGAGAGAGGATCGAGAAAATCTGAAAAACGCAATAGACGTAATTAAACCTTTCAAAATTAGGTTATTCTTTAAGAATGCATATACGTTGAAAAAATCTCATAACTAAAAGACAGAGACGACGGTTGCGTCTCCTTGTGTGCCGAGAGATTTTTTGCTAATGAGGGGGGGCGGGGCGAAGAGAGCAGCTGATTTTCATGTAAACAATACAGGCAATTGCATGTAAAAAGTTGCTTTGGATTTTGAGAGTGACCGTTCCCACACCCAAAACGGGGCATCGCGAACCAGAAAGGGAGCAAAATCCCGACTAAAACTTCTAATTTGCAGCTAATACAAAATGGATTTATTTCATTTTGGTGGCAATGCATTCCTAAGTTTGTGCTTTATAATTGCCATGTTGCATAAATTCCATAATAAATTTCAGAGAAAAGTATTGGACAGGAACATGGAGGTTATCATGTTCCAATCTAATACTTTTCTCTGAAATTTATTATGGAATTTATGCAACATGGCAATTATAAAGCACAAACTTAGGAATGCATTGCCACCAAAATGAAATAAATCCATTTTGTATTAGCTGCAAATTAGAAGTTTTAGCAATGCCTCGTAACACCATAGTTAAATTGGAGACTCGATCAAAACGGATGAAGAGGAGCGCTCTGACAGAGAAAATAATAACTATCACAGAACCCGAGACACAATTTGAGGCTGGATGAAAAGAAGGCCTGTGTCCTATATGTGGCGTGCAAGTTCGCTATATCAGTTTCTATAGGACACAGTCGCCACCACTCAGGCACTGGCCTGAACTTATCCCCCTTACTCTATTAACAAAGAGCTCTCGTCGCTTCATCCTTATACATCCATGAGTTTTAGTGACAAAAATCATTTACATTACTGGTAAGTGGTGAGGAGGAAAACTCACTCGCTCACTAGGATGCACAGACTGTACCCGAAATCAAACTTTAAATGACGATCATAACCTAGAGTAATCTGAGGTATACTTCAAAATACGAAATTTCCGTAAAAATTAGTAATGATATCAAACTTGTACAAACATGGAAAAATGTAAAATTTTCGAAAAGTCATGAAACATTTGAAAAAACATCAGTAATTTTGATCTTAAACTGATTTAAATGTAAAATTCTTATCAACATTTATGCAGAAATTGGAGGAAAATGTAAAAATGCTCCCCACATGACTCACTTGAATGCTCGTTATTCGTCAAGTCCTCCCTTTCCAGGATGGAATAATACTCATCGATTTTATCCTGATGATGGATAAACTCCTGTTTCAGAACTTTCAGTTCCTTCTCGTCAAATCCTGACCGTTCCGCTTTTTCCCACAATTTCGCCAGCTTCTTATCCTTGAAGAGAGACTTGTTGATTTCGTTGTGATCTCGGGAGAAAGTTTCGCCTGGCTGTTTTTTTGGGGGAGGAGATTCTCCAAAGTGTTCGAGGAGACCGTAATTCGATAGAATTTCTGAAAGCATCCACAAGGTCAAGATACGCACAAATATTTAGTTGATAAATAAGTTAGGGACAGTAACTCGACCCACCTTTAAACTTCTTGCGGACCAAGGCTTCTTGAAGTCCGTCCTGGTCGAGACCATCGCTCAAGAGTCGTTTTAACTTGACTTGTTCACTATCATGCGCGGATAAATCGGTGTATAAGGATTTTAACTTTGTGTCGGTTAATTTCTGTTAAATGTAAGTGCAATTATTTAATTGAAGGTATTAATTAATTAATCGTGTTTTTTTACTTACGTGTAACGCCTTGTTCCAGACGGCGTTAACTTTTGCCATGCGGAACGGATCACGCAACTCTCTGAGGTTGAGATTGGCTTCTTTTGAATACTTATTTTCTTTCGCCGAGTCCCCGGTGGAAGGGGCCGGCAGAGAAAGTACGGCGATAATGAGGGAGATAATTAAGATCGTCAGGTTTTGAGTCATCATGTACTTTAATTATTAAATATTTAATTTACTAGTTAATTTTTTGGGGGAGAAATTGCACAAACTTTATTTAAATTGACAAGATAGAACTTGCGAAAAATTTGCAAAAAACTTGGAAAAAATAAACTCTAATTTAAAACCAAGTGTGAAGAACTGTACTGCAAATTACTATTTATTTATAGCAGTTTTCACACTATTTTAACTAATTTGAAAATATTTCTTGCTTATTTTTACCAGAAACTATAAACTTGCACAAAATCAAAATTATTTTTGCAAATTTTTCAATGTCACTTTTTGAGATTCGCATCGCCCGCCTCTCACTTTGCCCGGCCGAGAACGAAAACTGACGCGAGCCACCAAAAATCAAAACAGTTCACATTCACTACTTGAAAACACATTTTGTCCAGAAAAATTTAAATTTCATCAAATTTCATTAAAAAATGAATAATTAAATCAAACTAGTTATCAATTTATATAAATTTTATCCATTTTTAAGGAATCTCTCGCCCTTGAAAAGTTTTGGGAATGAGAGAGAGTGAAAAACTTGTGAATTTATAGTGCTCCGCTTTTTAAACGAATAGTGAACGTTCATCTTTTCCATTTAAGGTAAAACATAACTAATAATTAATTAAATAACTAATTACACATTAAAATTTACTCATATCTTTCTTTGCAGATGTCCAAGTATAAGGCGTACGGAAAGTCTCGCGCCAGTTCGCGTGCTGGTCTCCAGTTCGATAAGCTCATTAAAGCATGCAGCAACTCGAAGAAACCTCCCACCGCTGCGTCCCACGCGGCCGGCGCGATAGGGCGCTTTGGTGTCGCACAGTTCACCTCGACACGGATGTCATGTCTGGATTCGCAAGGTACAAAATAATAAATCTCGAAATTTTGAAGTTTTTATTTTAAATTTCTAATCCTCATTATTTAGGCGAAGATTATGAACACACTACAGAAAAACCGTCCCGTTTCTCCTCCCTAAACAAGAGACCCCGCATGGCCCCTGAACTTGCACCACCGCCCACAATCCCACATCTTGACCCGTTCATCGCTGCACATTATCCACTCTCATCCACATCTTCCTCCGGAGGTGGACCCCCGCTCCTTTACCCCCAGCAACAACAGACGATCCTAAAACCAAGAAAATTTTTCAAATCGCGAGGCCCCATGGAGGTCGAAGTTGACCCTTCCATCCCACCCAGACCATACTATCCGCGCTCCGACATCTCCGCGCACCTCAACAATTCATCCCCTTATCCCCCCATTTTGTCCAGCATCAGTCTGAACAAAGGAGGTGGTGGGGGCGACACGGCGCCTCTTTTACTCCCCCCGTCCGCCAGCTATAAAAAATCTCCTCCGAAAAAGAATAAGAGAAAACATTCGTCCCCGTCGCCATCACCGCCGCCCCTGCAAAACTTTTCCTCGCCACCGATCAAGCTAAAAATTATTAAGGACAAGGGAAAGTTCGTTTCGGTGTCGGAGGACAGTCCGACCAAGAAAAAGAAGGCGGGACGACCACCCCGTGTCGATAAGAAGGTGAAGGAACCAAAGGTCAAGATTGTTCCAAGTGGGGGAACGAAACCGGGGAGGGGACGACCCCCAAAGAATCGAGATGCTACTGCCGTAGCAAAACCGGTAGTTTACAAAGAACCGGATTCACCATCACCGCCACCACAACCGGTCATCGTTATTCCGAATCCGAAACGTTCCTCGTCCCGAGTGACGAGAAGTTCGGCGAGGTATGGAAGTGGTGGTGGTGGAGGGGATGAGGGGACGGTAACAAATCAAAACGAGGAACCACCACAGGAATCACAACAAAGTTATTCGCGTCGTCACGAAGAAGAACAAGAGGCAAGTTCAGCGGCACATGGACATCACCACGGCGAAGACACGTTAAAGAAACTCGAGGAAGATGCCGAGTTTCAAAAATTGTCACAAATGCTGTCCTCCATGGAGGACGAGGGACAAGAGCAGCAGCAGCAACCACCACCACAACAGCAAGAAACTTATGCAAATTCTTCTTCCTTCGGTGGCGGTGGGAATACGACCTATTTCGTCCCTCCACCCTTGACAACGCCACCTCCTTCTCAGCCAAGTAAGAAATCTGACATCCGCTCCATTTTAGAGGACGATTGGAACGAATCATATGAAGAGGAGAGTCCCCGGAAAGCCAATCTGGGTCAAATCAGTCCCCCAAAAGTGTCACGATTTGATCCGAGTGCATTCATGCCGGAAGAAGAAGAAGGTCAAGTTCAACATCATCATCATCACCGTCACCCTCGACATCGTCACCTCCACCAGCACCTTGAAGACCAAGAAGACAATGGTGGGGGTCACAGTCTGGGTTACGACGTGTCGTCATCCTCCTCCATGGAAGCTCCATTGCGACCAATTCCACTCTACCCTCCGGCGGCCGGGAACGGAACAAATTTTAATATAAATTCGTCCCCTTACGCCATGAAGAACTTATTGAGTGGCGGAAACGATTTTGCGGTGGACATGTCGACATCACAGAAATCCGAAGATGCAACAGCTTCTTCCGTGTCGTCAAATTCTCAGCAGTACTTTGATTCGCAGAGTAGTAGCCAAAATTTCGACGAGTTGATGAACTTATCGCCTCAGAAGAAGGCAGCACCTGCTGCGCCATCATCAGTGGTTACGGCGGCAGTCGCTCCTCCGCCGCCCAAGAAAGCGTCGATTTTCAAAAGTAGGGCGAAAACGGATAAGCCTCCCACCAAGAATGCTGTATATAAGCATACCTTCGGCCAAGTGGATAAGCCCGAGGGGAGTGAAGAGAGCAAAACTGCGGCGCATAATCCTCCCGGTAAGAAAATAGTGGGGAAAAAATAATAATAATTTCGGAATTTTATTTTGATTTCCTAAAATCGTAGGAACCACACTGTTTGAAGATTTCTTTGACGACGGTGGCGACGACGCTTCTGGTGAAAGTAATCTTACTCTGAGGAAAGTTCGTATCTCGTCGTCCCAACCGACCGGATCGCAGGGTGGGGATGACGCCGACAGTGGAGATGAAGATGGAGACACGAAAGTTTTGTGTCGCAGAGGCGCCAAGAAGTTGTTCACGGTTGTGAGAAATGTCAAAGCGGGACACGAGTTGCAAGAGAGTGGCGAATTTCATGAATTTGATGGCGATGTGATGTACATTTTGGACGATTTGAAGGATAAGCATCCAATAAATAATCGGTAAGTTGTAAGGTCACAAAATTTCCAAAATATGTGCAATGTTTTCAAAATATGACAGATTCCCGTACTGAATTGTCTTATCTTTCTTATAGCTGCTTATCAGCCATCACCCTCGCCGGGCGCTGTATGGACCAAGCTTTCCGGATGCACCTTCGCGCGCACGGGACGGTGACGGAATTTTGTCGCGAGCTGCACGACTCTCCCTCGCATCCTGTTCTTTCCCTTTTGGCCGCCACCGTGCTTTTCGTCCTCTCCCAAGATCGCCTCAATATGGACTTGGACACCGAAAGTCTCAAACTTATCCTCGCCCTGACCAAGTCCGACTTCGGGCCAGATGGTGGTGACGACGGAGGAGAGAACGTGGAAAATGCTAAAAATCGTCAACGCGTTATCCAACTTTGTTCCGAAATGAAGGCGCGGGGACACGCGAAGCATCTGAATTTGGAGAAAATTACGGTAAATTATTATCAAAATGTGAATACAATTTTGACCCTCGTTCTAAAGCGCCACAAAAGGGCGAGAATCTACACTGAGAATGCAGCAGTCATACGAAAATGCAGATTTTGTGAAGAAATTACATTTTATCGCCGTCAAAATGATTTGTTTACAGTTAAACAAATACGTATTTTGACAACGATAAAAAGTTAATTTCTTCTCAAAAGACCTATTTTTGTATGACTTCTGTATTCTCTATGTAAATTCGCATCTTTTGGTGGGTAGCCCTGGCAGAACGAAGCTCAAAAACCACTGTATTGTGAGTCACATGACAAAAATTATACCAGAAAAGTAAAGATTAATTATTTTTCTAGGCATCGGAATTAGCGCTCGAAACGTTGCTATACTTGACTTCGAAACGTGCCGGTGAATGGGTGAAGCACGAGCTGCGAACGCTTGGCGGCTTGGACTCGATCGTAGGTGAGGTCGAGTCCTGTTTCAACTCGGTCGTGGAGGAGATTTCGGCTGAAAAGTGGGATGAAGTTGTCAACGAGCGGTTACGGAAGATTGACCGCTGCTTAGAAGTCTTGGGCAGAGTGACGTTCAACCATGAAGATAATCAGAGGTAGGAGAAAATACAAAATTATGAAAAAATTTACGATATATTTCTGATTATTTTTTTCTGACAGGTATTTAATGCAAGTTTCGACCCGCCACGTGGAGGGTGGTCTGCCCGTCAAATGCACGCCCGCCTCGCCCACCGTATTTTTAGAAATGTTTCGCTTCTGTCGCGAATTTTTGATGCGGTCCGACCAAAGTATGGCGAACAGCGAACAGGTCGTCATGATCAGGGAGATTTTGTTCCTCTTGTTACGTCTCCTCGTAAATTTGTCCCACGATTACAGAGGGATTGGTAAGGCTGGATAAGCGATACTTATCTCGGGGTATTTACATATTGTTTTTTTTGGTTTAGTTTTAGGGAGTGAAATCATGATGGAAGTTCCCGGATTTTTGGAACTCTGTCTCCATTCCATCTTCGAAATGACGAAGCACTTTCCAGACGAGAAAGTTTTTGATCTCCTGATGCACGTGAGTTTTAGAAATGAAATTAATGCCAAAATTATGGAGTTAATGTTCCAATGTGTTTATGTATAACTCAATTTTTGTAGTCACTGTGTCTCCTGCTCAACCTGGTAGAAACGAGTCGTAAAAATCGGTCGAGAATTTTACAAGCCACACTGGCCATGAGTTCCAACTCGACGCCGTTTTCCATCTCGACGACATCCTGTCTGACAGACTCTGCGGATTACGTCCCCCTGTTGGACGCCCTCATCGAGATGTTTCTGCATCGCGAGAGATCCGCCAAGACGGAGGAGCAGCACACCGACAACATTCTGACGACGGGGGAGAAGGAGACGAAAAAGAGGACAGAGCCAAAGTCGCAAGGTGACTCCCAAGAGGATAAAGACGGTGGGGGTGGTTCCGTTCAGGATACGATCGACCAGTTGATCTCTACTGCAGGAAAGCACATGGAGAACAGTTTGATCGCCGCTTATATCTCGTTACTCATCGGATTCTTAGTTATGGACGATTTGGTAAGGAAATTACATTTTGTGAACTAATGTGAACTGATAAAATTTAAAATTGGAATTTTTAAAATTTTTGGTTCTAGAAATTTATCAAATTTGATATTTATAAATTTTGTGATGAGTTGATAGAGAAAGTTTGACGGTGACGCCAAAATAATATTTGTATGCAGATTTATATATGGAATTTATAGCCAGATTTACGAACCATTCTGTTTGGAGTTATTTTTTCAACCTTTCGTTATTTTTAAGATATCTATTTTAGATCTAAAATTTGTGTTTTTTTTAAATTTTATTGCAGCCATACGTGGAGAAAGTACGAGACGCTATGCCAAATCGAGCCCTCCTCCCACTCATGGTCGTGCTAAAGAAACTCTTCAACTTTATGAGCATTACTTCTTCGGTAAGTGCAAATTCTAAATAAATTACGGGTTCTAAAGGTTATCGTAAACCTCGCAAATTGGGGAAATTTGTCGTATTTCGCATTTCGTGAGACTTGTCGCTCACAAAGTTACAATTTTTAAAGGCTTATAATTTTACTGCTATTGACTAACTAAATTGTTTCCATCTTTTACAGGCCTCGGGAAGCACTCGTGGACTAAAAGCCACCGCAATAGCGTTGAAATTTTACGCCAAAGTGGACACTGCATCGGCCGAAGAACTCAAAAAGATTATTCCCGAATAGGAATAATAAAGAGTCAAACAAGAAATAAGAAATAATTTTGGATCGAAATTAATATAAGTACTTCGTTATTTAGACAAAAAACGATGACTTCAATACATATGTAAAAGTTGCATGTAAATTTTTGGTATTTGAGCTGTTAAAAATTAGTTAAGTGTGTAAAATGCATGTACAATTATGCAATTTGTTTGAATTAGGTTAATTTTTGTGAAACGTATGCAATTCTTGTGCATGAATGTAAAAACAATGTGAAATCACATTTAAAATTAGTGAGGGATTAGCTAATTATAAAATTAAGGTGTATAACATAAATACGTCAATTATACGTTGGGATACCTACATTTTTGTAAAATTGATTTCTGAGGCGTAAAATAGCAGCCCAATTAAAATGTGTACAGCTAAACAATTAATTGTTGTTATAACCTGTAAATTTAGTGCAGTATGAATATTTAAATTGACTAATAATTAAGTAATTACACAATATAGTACATGTAATTAAATGTAAAAAGAAAAGTACAATCTTTTTTAAAACTGTATGTAAAATGTTACCTTCCGTAAACTTAAAGTACTCAAACATCCGTGAAAAAAAACTCGGTGAAAAGATTGATTGGTAATTTTGTATAAAAAATAGTGTAAAAAATTGATAAATAATATGTAACTTAATTTAACAAGGAGTTAATTAATTAATAATTAACTAGATAATTACTTCCCAAAAATTGTCTCGTCTTCGATTTTATAACAAAGACGGAGCTGTTTCCCAACATATTTGACACTTTCCGTTTCGTCACCTTCTTTTAAACCCCTATACTTTCTGTCAAAGTAATAATTTACGTGATAAGTATGTCTTATCAGCATGTTAAAAGGATAAGCTACTCGGTCTCCTTCCTGTAAAAAAGACGATATGTTTTTTATGTAATTGTGGCGTCCTTAATTACGTAATTACATTACTTTGTTAAAGTGCATTTTTACAAATTTTGACCACCTTTCAAAAAATCTTGTTTTCCGTTTAGCATTTAAATACATATTCAGTTAAAATGCATTTAAACAATTAAGACGTACATACATATTTTATTAATGTATCGATTTAATAAAAAACAGAATTAATCAACAGACAAATAATGAAAAAAAAATTTGTCAGTTTTTCATTTTTTGTAATCTCGCAATTCTTCACACCTTTTCATACAACGGTTTTTGAACGTTTCAAATCCATAAATAATATGAAAAAGTTTACATTTCCAAGTCGAATTTGAAACACCAGAAAAATATTCGAAAAACAAACGTTGACTTTTTTATCAGTTTTTCTCAATTTTTTAAAAATTCGCAATTCTTCACACTATTTCATATAACGATTTTTGAACGTTTCAAATCCATAAATAAAATGAAAAAGTTTCCATTTTTCAAGGCGAATTTGAGCTGAAATCTCACTCTGAACGTTTTGTCTGGAAAATCCAAATTCTCATCTTTCATCTCCCGCAAGCAAGCAAGCAGACAAAAGACAAAGCAAATCCCACCCATTCACCATTTAATTATTTTGTCTTTTTTATTTCCCTAAATTATCGTTAATTGATTTCCGATAGTCCCAAACTTATCAAACTTACCAGTGTTATCGGCCTTATCGAAGATGAGTTATTATAAGAAACGGCCCTCTTCTACGACCTCGTCCCCTGGAAAGTTAGGAATTCCAGCAGCCGTCATCATTGGCGATGTCGCGGAACGTTTAGAACTTCGTCAGCGAATGAACGATAAGGCACTCGAGGAGGAAAAAGCTCTCGATAAGGAGCTCGCCCAGTGGAACGATGTCGACAAACGGGTCTACATGGATAAAAAGGTGAAACTCAGCCGCACTCTGGCCCAGTTTGAAGAGGAGGATAAGAAGTCCGTCGTGACTCCTCCTGTCGCCAAACTGAAGGAAAATAGAGTCGTCGCCAAGAAGGAAGAGGTGTTCCTTGCCGCCAAGCAAGGTAGGGTTGGTTATGTCGACTTGATTTTGATAACTGATTAATACATTCTCTTGAAGCCTTCAAGTTGAAGGTTAACTTTATAAATTGCTAATTTTATTTGACAGAGAGACCCGACACACCTGAAATTGAAGTCGGTTTTGAACTGGGTGCGAACTACGAGGAACGATTCCGTGCCAAGCTGTCCTTGAAGGAAGAAGCTGACCGCCGGCAGATCGAGGAGGACGCGAAAGTTCGCCAATACTTTGATCAATGTCGTCAAGAAAGGACTCAACTGGTGGAGGAGGAGGTAGTGGTGGTGGCCGAGGAGGACGATCCTGACAAGGAAGCTCGCGACAAAATTATCCAAGAATTTAATCTCGGATCAATTTTTGAATTCTTACGGAAACAAAGAGCCAAAAAGGCACAAGGGGAGAAGAAATTAAAAGAAGATTATCACTATAAGAAAGAAATGGAACTTGAAAAGAAAGAAGAAATGATCGAGGATGCCAAGCTGGGCGAATATTTGGAGCAATGTCGTAAAGAGAGGTTGCAGCTGATGGAAGAAATTCGGGTAGAAGAAGAGCGCTTAAAGATGGAGGAAGACCGCTTGAAGATGGAGCAAGCTCGAGAACATGAGGCGCGCTTGAAGAAAGAATTGGCTCGCGAAATAGAAGATCGCATGATGAAGGAGACGCTGGCTTTCGAACGAGAAGAGCGCTTGAAGATGGAAGAACTAGCTCGCGAGAACGAGGCGCGCGTTCAGAGGGAGGAGGCTCGCCAAAGAGAAGAGCGCTTGAAGAAGGAAGAACTGGCTCGCGAGAACGAGGCACGCTTGAAGCAGCAGGAGGCTCGTGAAAGAGAAGAGCGCTTGAAGAGAGAAGAACTAGCCCGCGAAAACGAGGCGCGCTTGAAGCCACAGGAGGCTCGTGAAAGAGAAGAGCGCTTCAAGAAAGCTCGTGACGAACAGGAGGAGCGAGCAATGGAGGCTAGCGCTATGGAACAGGTGCGCTACGGCAATGCCAAGGTCGAAAGTTGGCGAGAAAGGAACAATCGCTCTCCCCCGTGTCCTCATAATGATACCATTGTTCCCATTCTCGCCGAGGGACAATGTGGCTGCCGAGAGGCACGAGAGCTGCGAAGAGTTCGTAAGTTTGTTTTTTCTTCAAAAGTTAAAATGTATATAAAGGAAATTCAAAATCTAAAATTTCTCCAACTTTTTTTTAGACGCTCTCGTATTTTCGCAAGCTCTCGACTTCGCCGTTCAGCAGGAGGTTGACTACGATAACCGATTGTAAATCCGATCCGAAGACGACGACGACCTTTTTTCTCATTTTCCGGTTAAATAAGTATGAATTAAAAAAAAACGTAGGCTGACTCGTAGTTTAACATTTTGTTGTTTCTTTATTACAATTTATTAAAGGAATCTCTTATTTCAATTCAATAATAATGCTTGTTTTATGTCGCATTTTATTTTAAATTGGCAACATCTTATCTTACCTTGTAGTTTAAGTTATCTATCAATGATAAGTTCATGGTTCGGGTACAGGTGCATTTCAAAAAAAAGGCTGAAACCATTTAGAGTTTTTTGATTATTTTTTAACCTGAATTTATTAAAACACAATCTTACAATGCTTGTTTTACATATGTCACAATTATATTTTAATTACTTTAAGGAAACAATAATTAAGCAATCTTACTTACGTTATCTTTTAGCTTATCATTGATAATAAATATAAAATAGCAAAAAGTAGTCAAAACCAAAGCAGGATTTTGCATGAAAAAGGGAATCAAACTTAAAAGGGAATGGACGTGAGCAGTGAGATTCAAGAAATTAATAAATACGTTAAAAGGACAAGATAATAATACAATTAAAAGTCTTATCAAAGATAAGTAGTTATCTTAAAAGAGCTCTTCCCTCCCTAAAATGTGAGGCTTATACAAATACTTGGGTTTAATATCGCAGGGGAACGCTATTTGTGTATATTCCTCTAAAAACTCGTCGGCGATCATATTTTTCCGCATTTTCATCCCACAGCCGAGCACGCCTTGATCCGCGATAATGTTCGCTTTCACCCGACCGGCGTAAGTGGTCATCGTGATGCCAAAATCTGAAAGGAAAATATTTTAGGAATTAGTAATCAGCGTCAAAATTTAAAATTATGCAAAATTGGGAACGAGTTCGTAAAAAAACAACGTAAAATACGATTTCAGAAATATCTAGAACTTCAAACATAAAAAAATTCCTCGATAAACAATGCAAACTAAATATTTAGGACAAACTTTTAAAAATGTCATAAATTTTGGTAGGACAAATTCTGCACGAAAAATAATATCCAAAAATTTGCTAAAATTAATCTCCAATATTTGCACATTTCACAATGATTATGCAATAAACACTGGCAATAAATAGTTCAAAATTTCTAAAACTAGCTGAATCTGATGATAAAGAAAAAATATACTAAAATTTCATAAAGTTCTTCTAAATTTCAAAATTATTATGTAAATAATGTCCCCACCCGCCCAGGTAGCATCGATTCCATTCCACGCGAACAAATCGACCACGATATCCTCTCCGCTAAACAGGCTGAACGGTTTCCCTCCAAGATCCCAGATTTCGAAGAGGATGTGAACATTGTGCAGCCAGCGGTACATTGCTCTTCCTCCTTTTACCGACATGGCCCCCGTGACCCACAGCAGGGCAGAGAAGATGGATTTCTTAGCTGCATGAATGTAAAGGTCATGCCGGTTTCCGGCCACGGTGAAGAACGCGTGACCCAGGCGATCGATCGGGTAGGTGTACGGATCCGAGGGTAGGATGCAGTTGAACGTGGTGGGAGTGGAGGAGCCAAAAAAATATTGCTTTATGCTGAACCGCATCTGGTCCGGGAGACGTTTGTCCATCGAGAGGAGCATGTTGCGCGCCGCGCCACCTGTAACGAGAAAATTATTTAATATAAATTTGGTCACAAATTTGGGACTGATCAAAATTTGTAATCAATCGAAAACATCGTATTTTGGCAGATAAAATTGCAACTTGAGAAAACAGGATTTACTAATCTGTACATAAGTATATCGGAATAAAAAATCGTTAAAAGCACCACCGTCGGTAAATTGAACAAACGTCATTCTTTGAAATTCAGGAAAAGCAATGGGAAAAAATTCACAAAAGTTGAAAAATCTGTTATAAGTTCACCAAAAATGTGCCAACAATTCAAAATTATGTTCAAAAAGCTATCATAAAACGTGACAGAAGTGTAAAAAAATCAACAACTTGCGAAAATCAATAACGATTTAAAATTTGAAATACATAAAAATATAATTTGTCAAAAACTCCCTTAAGTCTAACAAAAAATATCAAACAAAGTGGCGATAATTATAATTTAAAAAATATATTGTATCAAAATTGATTTCACCCACCCGCACATGACACCAAGACTGACATGACGCTCGTCCTGGACACATTTTTGGCTGTCTGGATCCCTCCGAGACTCATCGTTCGGGTGGCGTGGAGATGGAAAGCGTCGTGTTTGGCGGCTTCGCCCCCCATCCAATAGTTCTCGCGAAGGGGTCGGATCATTTTGAATTCACCGAAGGAGAACGGCACCCCACGCCAGATCTGGGCGAGGACGACTTGGCCAGTGAGCAGAAGTGAGTACAAGGAAATGATGATGTGTTCCAAGAAGTTGAACTTGAAGGATCGAGGGACGTTTAATTGTTCACGGGGATGAATCTAGAAACAAATAGGGCAAAGGTGACCTTCATAAATGATTAATTCACTCCGGGATGTTTGTAACCCAGTAAAAAACCATCGGTAAACTCATAGTTTACGAATGAAAATTAGTTAATTTTAGATAAATTTGCAAAACAAGTTTGAAGGTTAAATTTGTAAATAAATGAGGCAACTCATCTATTCGGATGTTTGTAAAATATTTGCAAAACTAACACAATTTACTGCGTTACAAAATTCGGAGTGAATTGTCTACACATTTGGTAAATTTGGTAACAATTTTCATCAATTGTGTAAATTATGTACATACATCTCTTTTATCCATGAAATCCTCCTTGAACATCCTCAACGTTTCCTGTTTGTTCAGTACGGCCGCATTCGCTCGGAAAGAGACAGCGTAGAAGACCTCGTCCTGCGGAATTTCGTCAAAGTCCATTTCTTGGTGAAGGAGGACCAGCCCGTCCTCTTCGTCAGCCACTTGGACGTCATACTGGAACCGGGGAATGACTAGGGCTTCCCATTGGGGAGCGTCGGCGCGGGTCACTGCGTCACAAATTAATTAATAATTCAGGTTTATGTGGAAAAATATACAGGGAACGCGATGTCAAAATACTGTATTTTGAACTCCGTTCTTCCCAGGTTATTACAGACAGTCACAAAAAGACGAGAATCTGCCCCGAGAATATAACGGCCATATGAAATGAAAATACATAGTTTTGTGAAGAATTTAACTTTTTATCGCTTTCAAAATACGTGTTTTTTTGAGTAAAACGTGAAAACAATGTATTTTGACAGCGCTAAAAAGTTAGTTTCTTCACAAAATACGTACGATTCGTACAACGCTGTGTTTTCCATGTAGATTTTTATCTTTTTGTGTCAGTAACAGTCCTGAAAATCCAAGCCCTTGGAAGAATGAAGTTCAATATACAGTATTTTACCCACATGGCAGCAAGCAAGTCAAATCTACATAAAATTGTCTGACTCACCTTTAAAGCTGCCATATTTAAAGTCATTCTGCAACAATTGGAACAATCTGGACTGACTGAGACCTTCGGGATCGTCGTCTTCGAGGAGATTAACATGGTTACAAACGTCGACAGGACGTCCCTCCTCCCAACAGTTGAATCCTAACCGTGTAACGAGTTTCCTCCCAAGACCAGGATATTTTGGAGCCTGACCGACCTTAGCGTCCACCACGGATTGGAAGAGGCTCCGAAATTCGGTCAATTTACGACACTCGCCCCGTAAAACTACAACCACGGTGTAAAACTCGTAACCAGAGGCGGACAAGGATGCGGAAATGGGAAGGAGGCGGATTCCTTGAGACCGGAAACGGATCCAGATCACGGCCTAGAAATCAATCAGATTTACTCGAAATTAATAAAATTTTATTATGAAAGATGAAAAAATGTTGAATAAAGACAAAATTTGTCAAAAATTTGTTGAAAACAGCAATAAATGATGAAGTATATCAAAAATTGAGTAATTGTAAAAACCTCTACTAAAATTTGCCACATTTTTTCAACAAAAACAGGGCAACCACACCCACCTGAACCACCAATCTGGGCAAGATGACAAACACCAAGACCACCACTATAAGCAGTGGAAGAACAATAATTCCTGCCACAAAGCTGACAAGAAATCCGATCAGCCCGAAAAAACCGAGCCCCACTCTTCTCAACGGTTTCAACGGGAGGGGAGGCTCTTGCCGCATAATGTCGGGTTGCTGGGGGTCCTGATGGCGATTAGTTTCCTCTTCCGCTGCAGCAGCAGCAGCGGCGGACATCGCAGCTTTGGAGGTGGAGCCTTTCTTCGGCATGATAACAACCGACGGGCCGGGAAGTTGCTTGTGACAAGTTTTTTGGAGAAGGGGTTCCTTATCGGGAGAAATTTCAAAATGTTTTTTTGAGGCGTCGATAAGCTTGGTTTGTAGACTTTTTGATGATGAAGCTTCGTTCACAAAAGTGACGGCACAGTTTTTTACGTTTAGTGAAGATGACGAGGATGCCTTGCCATTATCGTCATGGTCCATGGCGAAGGAGGAAAAGACGCGTGACTGTGAAGAAGATGAGAGAATTTAATTTTAGATAAGAGTAAAATGTTGATAATTCCAGAAGAGTCTGGAATTTGGAATTGTTTTGATTTTGCCATGTTTTATGTTTCATGGAAAAAAAACATTTTTAATTGAAGAAGTGTAAGTGTAAATAATAAACAACGTAAAATCGCACTGTGCACTGGACTGGAAATCCTCTCCAAACAAATTCTTTTAACTTACCACAATCTTAATTGATCCATTGTTCCAGAAATGTAATTAAAAACTGGGTAATAAATATTCCAAAAGTTTCCGAGTAGTGGTTTGAGTATATCGTTAAAAAATAATAAGATCCAGCTTGAAGTTTAAGTAGTTTTCCTGAGATGCAGATAACCGCGACCAGAACGAATTCTTCTCCTTGAACTGTGGGTTATAAAGAAAAAATGAAATTAAAGCATGAAATTTTATGAATTCCAATTTGGAAATCCCAAACTTCACGAGTTGTTGTTAAAAATTTGCTAACAAATTACCCAATCAAAACACAGCGTTAAAAATTACGAAGCAAACTGAGCTAAGAGAGGAAATATAACCTCTTCAAACTATTTAACTATCCAATTAACTAACTACCTTTACCTTCAAATTTATTTATAGAGATTATTCTCTTCTTAACTATCTTTGGTACGAGGAAGAAGGAAAAACGATGGGAAAAATTAAAATTAAAGTGCTAAAACAATTCGTGCATAAAATTCAATAGGTAATTTGGTTATGTTACCGGATTTTTAATAGTATTGTTGTAAATAGTTTAAAAAAATAATTTTTTAAACAATAGTTGCCGAACCGGAATGGCGAGTTTTTTTTAGGAACAGCAGGAACCTGCTTGCTTGTTCTTCGCCGGGTGTGGTGGATTCGTGGGTAGGGTGAGATTCGTCTCAATTTGGGTAAAAAAAGTCTCATCTTTCTCAAAATCTCATATTTTTGTATCATCGTATTTCTCATCCTATTTTGTTACAAATTCGCAATTAGAGTAATCCCGTAATGGCTGTAAACTATTGTGAATCTATTGTGAATTGTATTGTATTGTGTTTTTTACATACTGTTGACCATAATATTATGAATTTCATTTGAAAAACATCAGAGACGGCCCTTGACTCACAAATTTATTGTGAGAATTTTGATCTTTTTAAACGTCGATGTAATTATTTTACTATTTTTTGTACCGAGTCAATGAATTAGATATGTCGTCCTCTTCGTTCAATTGAAGAAATTGATTTTCATTTTTTATTCACTTTCCGCTTCTCATCTTGAATTAAATTAAATCTTGGTCAAATTTCATTTTAAAACACACAGTGCAGGCTTATTTTACCTGAGTCGGGTTGTTGCTAATATGTAATTGAGGTGGGTATATAATACCACTAAAACTTTTTTTTATTTATTTTTGCACAAATTTTGCTCATCTTTGAATTTGATTCCCAATTTTGCATGTTCTATGTGTCTGCAAAATTTCAAGTTGTTTTACCAGCGTAATCGATAAACGGGAAGACAGACAGACAGACAACCATACGGGATTATAAAGAGTGGATTCCTTTACTTATTTTTTAAATAAGAATAATTGTCCCAAAATTTCCTAGAAATCTATTTTTCTTGTAAACTACTATTTGTCCTCCTTTCCTAAATTATTGAAATGACTCAATCTCCACCACTTATTTTTTTATAACTATTTTTTATTTATATCAAATTGTTTACTTATTTTGTAACGCATTGTGAATTATTGAAATGTTGATTTAATTGTGGAAAATCTAGAGAAAATTAAACAAAATTTGAAAATTTTTTATACAATTTGGTAACAGTTTTCCCTCGAGTGTTAGATAATGCAAAGCTGAAGTAAAAATACGATCATGCAGAAATGTCGCAGATTTATTTTAAATTTGCCAAGATTTAAGCGAGGTCTACTTGCAAAAAAATATTTCGCAATGTCTTCTGTCTGTTTCTGTAGAGGTTGAAGCGCACTTATCTAAAGGTACATTAAGGTTTTCCATATTTTAGAATTATTTTTAAATGACGCCTAAACGGTTTTTACATTATGTTCAACTATTCTTGTGCAGAAATTAAAGCATTGGCAAAATTGCGAATAAAATTCATATCACCCACGGGACTTGTAGAAATTTCAGATGAAACTTTCGTTCGAAACTTCACGAAATTTTTACCATCTTACATCTAAAATTACGAAATATTGATTACCAAGTTTTCCAAATAATATTAAAATTTTTGACCTTACAGTTGCTATAAAAGACGGAAAAATTGGTAAAAAAATATCGTTGGATTTGTTACATCGCAATTACAAAATTTCAGTTTTTCGTAAAAACGAGCGCTATGAACTGACTTAAATTTGTTATCAATCCGTATGGAACAAAGGACAAATAACTTTTGGTAAAACCAAAAGTTCCGGTAAAAAGCATTTACCAAACTGGTAAAAAGTGTACTTGTAATTTCAGGAACTAAATTGATAAATGTTGTTCATAATTTCTTATAATTTTTCAAAAAATATAGATAACATAAAATAATTTCTATAATTTTTTAATCAAATTTTATACTCTGAAAGCGATTTTACGAGTTCGATTACATCCCATCTAATTTTATCATGAGTTAAACTAATTCCTCAAAATACAAAATTCGACGGCAAGATTAACCTAAAGTCTAAAAATTGCTTAAAATGTTTCTAAAGGCTAAAAAATAAACCTAACTCTTCAACGTTTCCAGTTTTGTATTGTTTTTTTTTGTAAAATTAGTTTTCGATTTTGAAACGAGTTTTACCCAGGTTAAATAAAATCGTAAAATTATAGCCATCTTAAATTTAGAGATTTCAAAACTTGAAAACTGAGATCAAAGAAATATGCATATCGTCAAAAACTAATTTTTGATAAAAAAATTGGGCAATTCACGCAGTGTTGGTAACTTTGTAAAATCCGTAAAGTTACAAACTTTTATAAATATTATTACAGAAAATTAGCTTGCAAATTTTTGTAAACTTGCTCAGGTCAAGGGTGTCTTTTTATTTGGTAAACCTTTCTAAATTTATTTTACAAAATGTACGAACTTTACAGAGTTACAAAAGTCTGCGTGAATTGTCTCAATATTTTACGCAGCTATTAATGCAAAATTATGAAAACAAAAAAAAATTGATAATAAATATTTTCAATTGCTAAAATTTCTTCAAATGTAACCTTACACCCAATTTTGCATCAACCTGAATGAGTAATAGCAGTTAATTCTGCTAGAAATATGAACATCGGCGTCAAACTTATTAAAAAAATGAATTCACAAAACTTATCCACTGAGGCAATTCACGCAACCCTTGGTAACTTTGTAACCTCCGAAAACTCACAAGTTTTTACAAAAGGAAAATTAGCTTACAAATTTTTGTAAGCTTACTTAGATCAAGGGCGTCTTTTTATTTGGTTAAAGTTTGTAAACTTATTTTTAAAATTTTTACAAAATTACAAAGAATGAGTGAATTGTGTAAATCTTAAGATTTGTTTCCCACTTGCCAAAAATTATTGAAATCTCCAATTTTTTAGAACTTTGTTACTGTTAGAAAAAGAGTATTATACTTCTGGTGATCAATATAATAAGTATCTTTATTACGTTATTAGTTGCACATTTCATAAAAATTATTGATCATAATTTTACTTTGATTAATCAATTAATTACTCATTAGTTAAGGTGGTGCATACTACATTGGCAAAATACAAATAAAATTCGTACAGACATAATTTTCCAATTTGGTTCGTACGCAGTTTAAAATGACGAATAAAAAAGTTATCCTAAACCTTGAGTTAAAAATTTGCAGAAAAGTATTTAGGAAAATACGTTTTAAAAAAAGCATCGCTCATGATTTTCATAATTTCTGGTCGGATGTAAAGATGTGAAAAATGTTCGAAAAGCATAAAAACTAAATTTTAAAACCCAAAGATTTCAAATCAAGACCAACCTTAAAAAATATGAGAATATGGTGAAAAAATGGCAAAAACGTTGCCACAAATCTAGCCGAATTTGGCCCATACAGAAAATACGGTGGGTAACAATTGGGAGTATGCAGTACTCGCTTGCATCGTATTCCAAATTTTGAAAAAAAAACATTTTGCGAACTAGCATTGAAGGTACCCAAATGAATATTCATGCCAATTTTTTTGCGAACTTTGTTTCTTTGCTAACGATCTGAGCTCGTAGTGAATACCCCCGAAAAATGATGGAATGTGCATTGAGTCACGTTATTTTAGGGTCATTTAATGCCCACCACATAAATATGTAAATTGAGACCCTTTTACTTTCCCATATTTACATACGCGAACCCAGTCAAGATTCTATTCCTGGCTCACCTGTCCTGACACTGACCCGGTTATCCGGCGCACGTAGACCCTTAGTAACGGGACCCTATTCCTTTTTCAAGGGTCGTGCGTAGTCAGATGTCATGAATTTGTTACATGATGTCATGAACAGAGGACGGATATGTATTTATTTTCAACTCTTTCATCTTATAAAGACCGACGCTCAAACTTTGCGGGTGTTTTTCGTAACTTTGGTAAATTACAAAAATTTCAAAACATTTTTACGTATTGTTTCATATTTATTGGTTTTTAAAACATTATGTTCTTCACTATTACTTGAAAATTGTGTAAATCTTTTGGATATTTTTTCAAAAATAGTTTTTTTTTATATATTTTATAGATAATACAGATAATATTTTATAGATTGCAAAAATTAGTTTTTTCCACAAACCGAACTTTGCAAACTCAAAATTTCAAAAAATGAATATTAATTTAGACACCAAAATTAACCGATTTTTGTAAACTGATATCATTAATGCGTCACCCAGGCTAAACCTGAAGTAATAATTGTATTGCTTCTTACTAAGAATTATTCGATTCGACGCCATCATTACTCAAAGTTCTGGAAATTTACGCGTATTTCGTAAACTTTATGAATTAGTTTTGTAAAATTACTATACAACTTTGTTTTAAACGTTTATGATTATATTTAACAAGTAATTAATGATGAAGATGACCAGAATCTATTTATGAAAAATGCTTGAAATATTTATTTAATATTTGCGAAATATGTAGAAAAAAATAAATCAGAATTTTCATAAAATTTGTACCTATTTTTGAAATTAATGGTGTTGATTTTTATTCTTAAATATTAAGTACATAATTTTTCGTAAATAGATACATATCCGTCCTCTAACTCATGATAAATATCTCATGACATTATGAAGTTTATAACGACGACATCCCTTCCGCACAACAATGGAACCCCTTAAACTTTGTTCTCATTTTGATCCCTTGAAAGTCTCGCTGTCCAGTTTGTTTCCGGTACTCTTCGTGTCCACAAGGGAACGAAATTGAGACATCATGGCGTTAAAAACGTCCACAGCGTCGAAAAATCACGTATTTTTTAAGCGAGCACAACTAGGTCCGAAGGAGAACGAAGAAGGAGTGATTACGAAAGGGGACAAAACACGCCAAAATTTTGCAGACGAGAATGACAATCATGTCGAAACTTTGGCGTCGTCTGAGGTAGAAAATCATGTCGAAAGTGAGGAAGAAGAAGTTCCCTATCGGGTCGAGATTGCTTGGAGGAGCACAATTATTTTGAGCGTGATTCATTTTATGGGGATTTGGGGATTGATTAACTTGCTCGTGGGGAAGATTTACTTAAAATCGTTTGCTATCCGTGAGTTGCGATTTTTTTGCACATTTTTTGCATGAATTTACATACGATTTTTTTTTGCAAAATGGTGGACTGTTTTTTGACACAAATTAATATACTTTTTTTGTAACCGTTTAATATCCGTGGGTTGCGAATTTTTTGCACATTTTGCATAATTTTTAATACACACGAGTTTTTTTTTACATAAAACAGAATTTCTAAATTGGTGTTAAATTTTTTTGGCATAAATTTAACTATAATTTTTTGCATTAAAAAAATTCAAATTAACAATTTTTTAAAAGAAATTTTTGCAATTAAAAATAATACTAATTATGAATTTCTCTCTTTTTTCTTCTAGAATGGGTTATCGGGCAGATGGGCGCGCTTGGGACGACGGGTGGCGCTCATCGATACTGGGCGCACCGCTCGTACCGCGCGACACGTCCACTGCAAATATTTCTCGCCTTTTGTCAAACAATTTCTGTGCAGGTTACACAATTTGCATAAACAAAATCGATCATATCGTTTATTTGTTGACCTACTATTTGACGTGCTGACCTTTAACCTTTGATCTTTGACCTTTGACCTGATAACTTATTTATTACAGAACTCTATCTACGAATGGGTCCGCGACCACCGCGTCCACCACAAATTCACCGAGACTAATGCCGATCCACATAACGCGAAGGTAAGAAATATATGTTTTTGATCTTAAATCAAGCAACTCAAGCATTTTATCAATTTTATCAATTTTACCGGCTTTATAAATTTTATGGATTTTACTGGTTTTTCAAATGTCACCAATTTTACCAATTTTATAAATTTTATCTTTTTTTAAAATTTAACTGGTTTTACGAATTAGACTAATTTTATCGGTTGTACAACTTTACCAAACTTTAATTTACTTTATGAAAATAAATATCAATAAATTTTGAAGTGATAAATTTCCGTGATTTTCTACATGAAAATAAATGTGATTTTCTACATGAAAATAAATGACAATAAACAATAAATTGTGGCCGAAGAAATCCATCTTTCACTAATTGTTTAGATAATTAGATCTTTCTAAATTAAGAATCGACTTTAAACTTGCACATATTTCGCTCAATTCATTCCGATGTTTGTAACCGTGCAAATTTTGTAAAATTAGTTATTTCCAAAATTTGTAATCCTAGTTTTTCTTCTTGATCTTTATCTACAAGCTTTTGTATCGTTCCAAATTTTAAGAGATCATAAAAATCTCATGGTGAATTTGACCTAATTAAGCGATTTATTTTTTTGCAAACTACAATTGATTGATACTTGAGAAGAAAGTATTTTTAGAAAATCACTAAAATTTACTGGTTTTACAAATTTTACCAATTTTATAATTTGAAGAGAGGCTTCTTTTTCGCACACATGGGTTGGCTTATGGTTCGCAAGCATCCCGACGTCATCCGCAAAGGGGCCACCGTCGACATGTCCGACTTGGAAAACGACCCCGTCGTCTCATTCCAGCGGAGGCATTATCTCCCGCTCATCACGATAATTGCGTTCATCCTGCCGACCGTGATTGTCGCCTGGTCGGGCGAAACTTGGCTGAATTCTTGGCTGTTGACCATGTTTCGATACATTTTGGCGTTACATCTCACGTGGTAAGTAAATTCCGCAGGCGGTAAAATTTAAATCGAAGAAATTTATGTTTCATAATTTTTTAGGTTGGTAAACTCCGCCGCGCATTTGTACGGGATGCGACCTTATGATAAGTAAGTTGTCTAAAAATCTTAAAATTCTCGGGAAAGCACAATGACATTAAAATGCAAATTGAAAAGCGTTTATTTATTTTTTGAAGTTCGGTTTGAAAAATTTTACTGTATTTTTATTCGAAATTTTATCTTTGAAAAATTTGTTGTTCGACGATAGGCTTTTGACCGTCTATTTGATGAAGTTTTATGATTTTGACTTTATTTTTTAACTGTTTTGGGGTGCGCGCGATGGCGGGATGTTTAAAAATGTGGGTTAAACCTGATTTTCTTTAAATTTTCAGGGGAATCAGTCCCCGGGAGTGTTGGTACGTGTCCATGTTCGCGTTGGGCGAAGGTACAAATACATACATAACTTTTTAACAACAAAATCAGTGTAATACAATAATATAAAACACATTATTTTGAAATTACAGGATGGGTAAAAAGCCACTCTTAAGATAAGAATGAACTTATTAAAATTTAGCCAATTTAATGATGCTTATCATTCTGATAACCCCAAAGCATAACTACCACCACGTGTACCCTCAAGATTACCGGACTTCTGAATTCGGCATTTACCACACCAACCTTACAGCGCTATTTATCGACATGTGCGCCTACTTTGGGTGGGTATACGGTCGAAAAACGGTGCCTAAAAGGATCGTGGAAGCCAGAGTTTTACGAACCGGAGATGGATCAGAGTATCGACATCATTAAACAAAATTCTGGCCAAGATTGTGTTTAATTGTAAAATTTTGAATACAATTTTGAGTATTTTTTTAAAATTCTGGCCAAGTTTATGTCGTAATATAAAAATATTTATAATTATTTAAAGTTGTTATCAGGATAATTTAAGCTTTTAGAGATAAAAAAAGTCGCCTGATTTTAATTATTTAAAAAAGATGAAAAGAAATAAAGAGATTTTTTGGACAACATTTTCAATGAAAAGTTTCTAAGATTATTAAATGATGGGAAATGTTTGGGATTTACCAACCAAGAATTAGACCATGTAAATTAATTGTGTATACGTTTTTACACTTTGAAAACTTAAAAAAAGAAAATTAAAAATCTTCGAATTTGTAAACTACTTACATAGTTGGAATAAATAAATATTAATCAAATTGAAGATTTGATACAGTGTCCACGATTATATCTTTAGAAATTAAGTATTGTATATAAATATAATTAGAATTCAATTTTTCGGAATTGCAGTATTACATTGCAGAAAAAGAAAATTGTTGGAAAATTGAGCCTTGGGAAAATTGAGATTTTTTAGTAAGGAAAATTGAGATTTATTTAAGTAAGAAAATTGAGATGTTTTTAGCAGGGAAAATAAGATTTGGGAAAATTGAGATTTATCTTTGTAGGAAAATTGAGAATTTTGGAAATTGAGATATCTTTAGCAAGGAACTTGAGATAGATTTTTTTAAATTGCAAACTTGAGACTTTTAATTGACGAAAAATTTAGAAAGTTTGACACCCTGGTTAATATAAAATTAAATTAGATTCAAAATTTGAACTCATCAACATCTTCTCTCCCGATTTTAATTTTCAAACTAATAAAAAAATTTAGTACGCAAATTGTAATCTTAATTTAACAACCATGTTACTAATTAAGCCTTCAAATACGTAATAAACCCCGTCCTTGAACGAGAACTTCATCCCATTTTATGAGGGTCAGAGACTTTCATTTCTATGCAAATAACCGATCTCACCTTATCCAGCATTTGAACCCTGGTTAATTAAAAACGTAATAAATTATGCAATCCAATTTCATTCATGAACTTCAAATTAATTAAATTGCATAATTTTTGGTTAATTAAAAACGTAATAAATTATGCAATCCAATTTCATTCATGAACTTCAAATTAATTAAATTGCATAATTTTTGCAGGATTAAAATGAAAATTTAGAATGGAACTGGCATCTGTAGGTAATTTCAGTTTAAGAATGCGTGCCGTGGGGTGTGGATCAGTACGGTTTTTGAGCAAAAAATTGGCAAATTGATAAGCCAGACGTACATATACATATTAACTAAATTTAAGATAAGCCTTCTGCCCTGCATTGAGTGCAATAATTTTGCCCCAAAAAATGCCAAAATTTGCAAAAAACGGAAACGGGTAATCTGCGTATGAAAAAGTCATCCCCACACCTCCACCTGAACCACTTCTTCATCCCTGGGAGGAACCTGAGGAAGTCGCAGAAATTTCGATGAAATTTGACAACGAAGAAGTTTCCATTGAGCGGAAACGAGTAACTAAAAGTGAGGAGGAAGAAAATAAAGTTATCGAAAAAGACGGGGACACAGGACGGGAAGTTGAAAAAGGGGACGCCTATGACCCCACGGATTACAAAATCCAGCCCGTCCTTCGGAGTAGCCTATTGCTCTTGTGGATTCACACGATGGCGATTTATGGGGCCTGGATCATTCTCACGGGACAAATGTATTTCAACACATTCGCTTGGGGTAAGGTATTCATGGGGTTATCAAAGGGGTTATCTCCGGATACTTACAATTTGCTAGAAGTTTGGTAAAATTCTCGGAATTTTCGGTATGTAAGCAAATGTCAAGAAGTTGTGTCTTGGTATCGAAATAAGTTCTCAGAATTTTTTAAGTATAACAAAATTTGGACATGATATTCCCAAATAAATGTCAGGGATTTTCTGTTGAAACCAAATTCTCGAATTTTTTGGTATGAAAATAAACCCCAGGAATTTTTTCGGCGAAAAAAAATCTCGAGAATTTAGACCAATTCCCGGAACTATCTGTATGAGAATAACTGACCAACAATTTTGAGGAGGATAAATTTTCTGCACGAAAATTAATCCAAGAAATTTTTTACACGAAAATAAATTTAAATAAACTTGGAGAAAAGAAACCTTAATCTGTCACTAATTGTTTAGAAAATTAGATCTTACCAAATTAAGAATTGACTTTAAACTTGCACATATTTTGCTCCGATATTGCAAATTTTGCAAAATTAATTACTTCCAAAATTTGTGCAAAACAAGGAGACGCCTAAGTAACTTTACGATGCATTTTTTGTAAAAACCTGCTTTTCCTTCTTTTTCTACAAATTGTTGTATCGTTCCGGATTTTACGAGATTACAAAAATCTCATCCTGAATTTGACCAAATAAATTAATTACGCGATTTATTTATGTAAGTTACGATTTACTTGAGAAGAAAGTATTTTTAGAAAATCATTAAAATTGCATTCTCTCAAAATTTCCTTGGCACCAAAGTTTTTTCAAAAAAAGGATATTTCTTCGGTATTTTGTGGAAAACTCGATGGTGAAAAGTGGATTTATTTCGACATTTTTCTCCCAAAATTTTGGAATTTTCCCTATACCGACCAATGTTAAAAAGTGGATTTTTCGTGTTTTTCATCAAAAACTCGAATATTGGAAACTGGTGGAAAATTTTAATTGGTTGCTATCAGGTATCTTTATGAAATCAAAATCGTACCGAAGGGAAATCTTATTTAAAAATTAGTAGTCTTAAAGAGGTTAAATAATTTTAATTTGCATGTTGACGGGACGAGATCACAAAAAAATTTACAATGGACAATTCGTCTCTAAGACAATTTCAACCTAAAATTCAGATCTCAAACACTCGAATTATTTACGAACTTTTGTTTACGAACCAAAAACATGCTTTTGACGTGCGTAAGTTTCGTAAAAGTTCGTAAGTCAATTTTCCTTAGAAATGTGTGTAAAAGTTCGTAAAAGTTTGTAAGCTTACAAACCTTACACAGTTACGAAGGTTACAAACTGTGACGTGAGTTCCCTCATTATTTCGATCCATTTTCAATCCATTTCTAATCCGTTTTCGTTTTTCAATATGAACGTATCTAATCCAAAGCTATACGATATTAATATTTCCCGTATTTTTATTTTTGGAGTGAAAATTGTACAAAATCTAAGAGAAAAATAATAATTTGAAATTGTAACCAATTATAAAATTTGTGATTATTTAGCCGTTTTGCATGGATGGGCGTGCTGCATTGGTAAATAATTTAATATTTAAAATTTAAGATTTATTAACAATTAAACCTTAAAGTTTAATTTATATTTTAAATTTTGTAAACTGGCGTGACCGCGGGGGCGCATCGTCTCTGGGCGCACAAAGCGTACAAGGCTCGCTTACCTTTAAAGATTCTTTTGATGTGGTGGGACACAATTGCTGTACAAGTAATAATTTTTTTTTAATTGAGTGGGATCGTTTTAAAAATTTGGTAAAGTTCTGCCATTTTATAAAAAACATTTTTGGACAAAAATTGGCAAAAAAGAGGGCAAATTGGTAATACAAATATATTTTTGACCATAAATTAAGTAGCACTGGGGGGAAAAAATTTTGAAATTTTACCGGTTTTACAAATGTTACTATTCTTATCGATTTTACGAAATTTAGCAATTTTTCCGGTATAATAAATTTTACCAATTTTACCGGTTGTATAACAATAATTGAATATTGCAATATTACAAATTTGAAAATATGTTTAACTAAAACGCTCGTAATTTTTATTTCAGAATTCGATATTCGAGTGGTGCAGGTAATTTGATAACAAATGGGTTGAGTATGATATGACTAATCCTAAATTGTGAAGTTAGACGAGAGCAACGTGAAAAAATCCTTTAATTAGTTAGGTATTAATGATACATTTAATTAAATAACTTGCAATTAAAATTTCACAAATACGTGTTTTAAGGTAGACAAATTTCCAGAATTTGAAATGATAAGATCTTATCACCCACCAATTATTTTTCAGGGATCATCGCGTCCACCACAAATTCACCGAGACTCATGCTGATCCCCGCAATGCGAAGGTAAATCTAATATGTCTTTATCTTAACTTAAGCAATTCTACGGGTAGCATTTCACTAATTTTACCGGTTTTAAAAATTTACCGGTACATAAATTCTACCTGTTTTATGAATTTTAACAATTTTATTGGTTTCGCAAATTTTAACAATCTTACCGATTTTACCAATTTTACCAATTTTATAGGTTTTACAAATTTTAGCGGTTTCATAAATTTACCAATTTTATAATTCGAAGCGCGGCTTCTTTTTCGCGCACATGGGCTGGCTCATGGTGCGCAAGCATCCAGACGTCATCCGTAAAGGGGCGACCGTCGACATGTCCGATTTGGCGAAGGACCCCGTCGTTATGTTCCAGCATCGCCACTATTCCGCGCTTGTGACGATTTTCGCCTTTGGAATCCCAACCGTGATCCCGTACTTTTTTGGGCCTGGAGAAACTCTGTGGGTCTGTTGGTTATCGACCTGTTTCAGATACGTGTTATCGCTCCATTTAACTTGTAAGTAGAAAATTTGCCTATTTTTATGTCAAAATTTTAAGAATTTTGTATTTTTATACCTAGATTACAATTCAAATTTTGCAAAATTTATAATTTTATGCTTAATGACATTTCGAATTTAAGAAATTTACAATTTTTTACAAAATTTATAATTTTTTCCTAGATGTCAATTCGAATTTTAAGAAATTAATAATTTTTTTCTTGACTAAAATTATAATTTCGAAAAAAATAGCAATTCACACACTTCACAGAATCAAAATTGTCTGCCAAATATAAAAAAAGATGCGATTAAAATTTGTATGATAAAAACGCCCAGAAAAATTTAGTGTGCAATTCGTGCATTAATGATGCAAAAGATATGCAAGATCAAAATTACGAACTTTAATAAAATATATATATATTTCTGACGAAAATAAGATTATACATAAATTTTTGTAAAATTGCTCAGATCAAGGGCGTCTTATTATTAAAAAAAATTGTACAATTATTTTACAAAACTTGATTTACAAACACTCAAAATAAGGTAGTAATGAATCATTACCATGCGGAATGACTATGTGGCTCTACCACGTCGGTTACGATTTGTCGTAGAAATGGTAATACTAAGTTTAGGGAAATTCAAATTTAATACATAATGGTATTCACTTCTTTAATATTTGGTAATGAATTTGAATTTCCCTGAACATAGTATTACCATTTCTACGACAAATCGTAACCGACGTGGTAGAGTCATATAGTTATTCCGCATGGTAATGATTCATTACTACCTTATTTTGACTTAAGTCACCAATGACTGCGTTAATCGCCTCAATTTTTTCTAGATCTAGAGAAAAATAAAATTAGAGTTGTAATAGATTACAACTCTAATTTTATTTAATTGATTATGTGGCCTAGATTACAATCATGTAGTATTTTTTAACTTTGCAGGGCTTGTAAATTCCGCTGCGCATTTGTGGGGTCCAAGTAAGATTTTTTGCTCACAAATTTTTTAAGCTTTATACAATTTATGAAAAACTTTATGATTTTTTCCTTCTTTTTTCATGTACCATCGTAAAGGACCGTACGATAAGTAAGTTATCTTTCTAAGCGATATTAAAAATCTTTGGAAACAAAGTTTCGAAATAATTGCAAAGAATAAGGACGCATTTTTCCAGTAATAGATAATTTAGTTATCTGAAATTTTTTAAAGTATGACTTTGAAAAAAAAAGATGGATAAATATCCATAAATTATTTTTCAATTGCGTAACTTCGTTATTCTACATAATAATATACTCTCCAGCTTTTGCAAAACTTTTGCAAACTTGCAAAATGTTGCTGGTTAACGTCAAATTTAATATTTTTATATGGTTTGATGCAAATATTTGTAACTTCAGATAGTATTAGAGTATTAGTAATTTGTCTAACGTTTAACTAAAATTTAATTTGCTATGCCAAACATCATGCCATGCCAGAAATATGTCTGGTTTAGATATTTATTTCATAAACCAAATTTACCAAGAAATTCATAATTTTATATTATTTTTTTCGAAAATTTTGATGAAGAAAGTTGTGATATTTTTTTCAATGTGCAAATCTTTGTAAATAATGTTGTTAATAAATTTGACCATAGAATTTTAATTCAATTTAGCAAAAAAAGCATACCTTAACCACGTTTCCACCATTTCTTACAATGGTTTGATGTTTTCTTCCTTGATACGTGCTTTCTTTCCTCAGGGGGCTGAATCCTTCGGAAAACATGGCGGTCTCGATTCTGACGGGGGGTGAAGGGTGGTAATTATACATACAAAATTAAATCTCATTACATTTAATACAAGAATATAGAAGCATTTCACGTCACCCTTCGTAACTCCGTGATCACGTAAACTTATGAAGATTAATCTATGTACATATGAACAAAAAACATGCCTTTTATCTTCGTATAAGGCTTTGTAACTTTATAAATTGCCTTTGAGATGTTGCAAGTTTCGTCAAAATTTGGTAAATTTACGTAGTTACTGATTTACGAAAGTTGACGTGAATTGCCCCATACTTAAACCATATTATTCCCCCCTCCCCCCCCAAGGCATAATTTTCACCACGTGTACCCTCAAGATTACAAGGCTTCCGAACTTGGCCTGTACGCCTTCTCACCGGCAACCGCTTTTATCGACCTTTTCGCCACCCTCGGGCTGGCCTACGACCTCAAAACCATCCCCAAACGTGTCATCGAACTCAGAATGCAACGGACCGGGGATGGCTCACAGTATCGCCATTGATCGAGTAAATTTTGTAACGTTTACGCAAATCTCGGGGATAAATTGTTTAAAAATTGAGAATAATTTAATTGATTTCGTAAAAATTATCGGAATTATTATTTTGGTTTTTATATTAGTGAAAGCTTTGTAAAATTTGTAAACTGAAGATTCGCAAGGTTTCATCAGGCTAAAATGTAAGAATCGCGGTTAACTATGTAAAATGTATAAAGTTTGCGAAAACCTGGGGGACAAATTGTCTATGGACAAATTATGCATAATTTAATTGATTTCCTAAAAATTTTAAGAACCACTTTAATATTTATTATAGTATAAAGGCGTTGTAAACTTTGTAAACTTAGCAAGGTTTCAAAAGGCCAAAAATGTAAGAATGATAATTAGCCAATTAAAGCTTAAGTTTACACAAATTTCGGGAACTAATTGTCTAAAAATTACAAACAAATAAATAAATTTCCTACAAGTTATCATTTTTGTGTCCATTATAGTGAACATTTTGTAAAATTTTTAAACTCAGCATGGTTTCGACAAACTAAAAATATCAGAATTGCGTAAATTCTGTAAACTTTTCAACAATATAAAACGGATAAATTTTCATTAGTATCCGACACATTCTATCTAAAATTTTCCATAAGTACTTTTGGTCAACGAAAATACATAATTCGTCGTCAAATCCCTACACAGAAAATCATCCCTTAAAATATTATGTTAGGAGCAAAGTACTGACAAAGTACTACTCACAATGCGATGGTGTGAAGTGTAACCCTCCGATTTGGATGAAATTTCGAAATTATGTGGTCCATGTCAATACAACCAACGTTTCTTCAGGCAGTTTGTGCGATGGTCAGAATTTGCCAAAATATTTGAGGTTAAAGTTGAAAAACGGGCGATTTTTACCAGGTGGAGGAAGCAAACTCAACTTCTATTCTCTTCCCGTGTTAAAAATTGCACATTTTTCAACTTTAACCTCAAATATTTTGGCAAATTCTGATCATCGCACAAATTGCCGGAGGAATCGTTAGTTGTATTGACATGGACCACATAATTTCGAAATTTCATCCAAATCGGAGGGTTACACTTCACACCATCGCATTGTCAGTAATTTGTTACTTTTTGGATTAAAATTTGCGAAATGTATTAAAAATTTACATTATTTCATTAAAATTTGGCACACTCGAATACACAAACCAACCAAGTCGAATTTTACCAGCTGCCAAGATTAACTGATTACCCAAAATTTCCGCAGCAATTTTCAATTTTTTTGCACAAAATCCTTAAAAATGTACAAATCTTTATATTGCACAAAAAATGTCAAAACTTCTTAAATTATTATCAAAAAATATTTTAAATTTTTATCGCCAAATTTTCATTCCTGACATTTTATTCATTTACGGATTTTACAAAGTTACCAAGTATTTGTGAATTGCCGCATTATAAAAAACTATCTTTTGCATAATAACTAATAATTATGTACAACAATTTTTTCGAATCTCCAATAATTTACCACCAATTTTTCCGAAAATCTTGTGACAAATTTCTCATCTTTTTCTATGCATGTCTTAACATAATGAAGGGCAAATAGCATTCGAAATATTGACAAATAAAGTAAACCGTTTCATCGTTTTTCCACTAAAACTCCATGGGATCCAATTTATCTTTTTTTACAACTTGAGAAAAAAAAATACAAAACTTTCAAAAGTAAAATTCATTTTTTTAGCTAAAAGCATGACAAATTTTCATATCTTTGTGTCGGACAAAATATATACCTATGTAAAATTTATATCTTTCAGTACTTAAAAAGGTTTTATAAATCGGCGTGAAGGTTTCCCATTTGATTTGGTCAAATTTTAAGTTTTCAATCTTCAATTTTCCACTGAAGAAATCGCCTATCTAACCGAGTTTATAATATTCCTATCTTCGAAAAGTTACAAAACGACTTGGAAGTATCAACAAAATAAAGGTAACAAAGATAACAAAAAAAATATTTCTTTTTAATGATTCCAAATTTGTTTTAACCTCTTTCGTACTATTGATTTCTTAAAATTTCCTTTGATTTTATAATAACGAATTAAAATTTTCTACCAGCGTCCAATTTTTTGTTGTTTTCTTTTACAAACAACGAGAAAAATCAACTTTTTAACATTATGGAAAATTCCAAGATTTGAGAAGAAAAATGTTGAAAAAATCCACTTTTTAGCATTCAGTTTTCCACGAAGTCCAAAAGAAATGCTCCTTTTTTAGAAATTTTCGTGTCCGGTTAATTTATACAGTAACATCTATTTGTAGATTTCGCCGTGAACGGTAAATAAAATACTACGGAAATATGTATGTGTACTTGGTCATTAAGAAGTTAATATTATCAGACTTTCTAAATTTACAAAATTCTTGTGGCCTAAGGAAGTGTAGACTTATAAAAATTTGGAAGTTAATTTTCCTTAGAAATATTTATAAAATTTCGTAAAAGTTTGGAAATCTTTCAGAATTTACGAATTTTACAATGTTGCCAAAGCCTGAGTCCCATTGTAAAATTCGTAACTTTGCAAAGTTTACAAAACTAGGAATACGACTATTAATATAATTTATTCGAAATTAATTCTAAGCAGGAATTGGAAACCATCCATTGTTCAATTGCACATGAAAATACGAAAAAATATCGAATTTGACTTTAATCAGAAACATTTTGCCATGATTTTTCATACATGTCTCAATTTTGATAACAATAACTTTGTAAAAAGTTACCTGCGTGAATTACAAGATTTATTGTACAATATTAACGCCAGATTTGATATTTTCCATAAATTTTTATCCGAATTTTAAAATTTCAGATATATTGAGGGCGAATGTTTTACAAAAAATGTAGTTATCAATAATTTCTTGGAAATTTGCAGATTAAAAACTCACACAATTGAAAACGTTTCTACTCACGGAAAGATTAGAAACTTGAAAAAAATAAATAATTCTGAAGGCTGTTGCACTTAAATCCATGTAACATGTAAACTGTGTAAATTTTGCACATATGGTTTACAAAAAACTTAGAAAGCAAATTAAGACTATCAATTTCTTAAAAATTTATGTAATAATAAAAAAAACAATGGTCGGATTCTACCTTTCACACTGTGTAATTTGCAGAGGGCGGATATGTCTGTAAACTCCGCAAAATATGTATGTATGTAATATGTGCTTAAAAAACCTGAAAATATACACATAAAAAATGTTTTTCAACTTAAATTTTCTGCTACATTTATGAAATATAAATTTGACGAAACCTAAATTGCTGAATGAAGAAACATATTTTTACATAAAAAAAACTTCGAAATATCTACTAAAATATTTATATTTAGAAAAATCCACCAAATATGTATGAAAATATGTAAGATGTACGAAAACCTTAAAATATGGAAAACTATGTTTGAATATTTGCGATCGTGCTTAGATGGATACGAAATTTTAGTACGATCTGATTTGGTATGAAAAACTTATAAATACATACATATCCGCCGTCTAGTAATTTGTTATATTTATCAATTACAAGATAATTACAAAATTTTTATAGTAGTTTCATAACCCAGATGGAATCCTGTGACGTATTTGGCCCATTTTAGCAAGCTAGTTTTGATACTTACTGCTTAACGAAAATAATATTGCGAAAAATTAAAAAATGAAAAACTATACTACAATTTTGCGAAATAATGGCTAATGTCGAATTTTTGATTTTAATTAGATTTCATTTTCCAAATTATGTTGGGTGATTGGAGAAATGTCAGGTTTTTTTATAAACTCTGTAAAATTACGCAGCTTGGGTGAAATATTGAGGGGAGTATTTACCCATATGAAATTATAAGTTTACCGATTTTACCGATTTTACGAAGTGATCAAGACCTTTCGTGAATTGCTGCACTCACAAAAATTATCGTAAAATGTTAACGCCAAATTTTATATTTTTCATAAATTTGTACATCAATTTAAAATCTGAGATGAACAGTGGGTGGAGTCCTCCAGGAAATGCAGTTTTCAATAATTTCTTGGAAATTTACACATGCCAAATTTTGAATAATTTTGCCTGATTCCCCTTCCATATTTGCATAAATGTTACCTCTTTAAAAATTCAGACATGTACGAAAAATCATGGCAAAAAGATTTTGATTAGTCAAATTCCATATTTTTCGTAGTTTTATATAATGTTTAACAACTTCAGGTATGTATGTACATAAGTTCCAGTTCGGGTTGTTTGAATTAATTCTGAAAAAATTATAATCATGTTCCGAGCATTATAAACTTTGCAAAGTTTTGAATCTTATAATAAGACAATTCACCCAGGGTTTGGTAAGATTGTAAAATTCGTAGATTCTATAAACTTCCACAATTTTACCAAATTTTTCAAATATTTTTGAGGAAAATTAGCTCCCAAATTTTTGTAAACTCCAGTAAACAGTAAACAGTAAAACATGCTCAGATCACGGGCGTCTTTTTTATTATGTAAAAGTTTGTAAATTATTTTACAAAAACGCACGGATTTTACAAACTTACAAATAAGTTCCTTAATTGCCTCAACAATATCAACAAAAAATTGACCTAATTTACTTGAGCAACCTAAAATTCACAAAATTTTAAACCTGGTGTGTAACTCTCGCATTGCGAAAATATATATGCGATATTTTATTTCCATTTTATTTTCCAAGCATACGAAAAGATATTTCTATAATATTTTCCACAATTTTGCGAACAAATTAATCAATAATTTGTAAGAACTTGTTAGGAGCATAGATAAAAACCTACTCAGCTGAAAAGGTCGCTCCATCCATCTAAAAAAAATGTAAAATTACGAAAAAAACAGTGTACACAATTTGCGAAGGATAGAATTTTTTCATCAATTAAGTACTTGTCCTTCCTTCCTTCATTTCCTATGCTTTCCTATGCTTTAGTTGCATAATGCATTAATTATAATTATCCAAACATGAACTAGACATTGATTAAACAATTAATTAAATTCACAAATAGTTTCGTTACGCATATTGTTTTTTTCACGTTTATTGAAGTACATATGCATTTCGTAAATATTTTTGCGTTTTTGTTTGCAATATTAAATACATATTTCTACGATTTTACAATGTTACCAAAGCCTAACTGAATTACCTCATTATAAAGTTCGTAACTTTTCAAAGTGTACAAAGCTCGGAATATGAGTTCAATTTTTTCACAATAACTACTCAACAAATGGAAGTGGCGTTTCCCATCTCTTAAATTGCCAAATTGCAAATAAAAATAAATAAAATATCGAATTAGACTTTAATCAGAAACATTTTGCCCTGATTTTTCATGCATGTCTCAATTTTGGTAACAATAATTACTAAATTTATTGTACAACATTTGATATTATCCATAAATTTTTATCCGAATTTTAAAGTTTCAGATATATTGAGGGAGAATGTTTTACAAAAAATGTAGTTATCAATAATTTCTTGGAAAT